CACTGTGTGGCATAGGTATAATTAAATTGACTGAATGATTGTCATGGTTATCTATATCAACATACTCCTTAACATATTCATTTGGCAGAGATATTTCCATTTTCGTCTTCCAGGAGTATTGATATAAAACAAGTTATTTTCTTTTTAACTATATAGGAACCATGCTACCTTAAAGGGGACTTTGAGATATGGGCAAGGGAGCCGGAACTTTCTTACCAGGCTTAAAACAATATTTCCTTTGTGGTTTTGTCATACCTTAATTTCATTTTTGATTGAGTTGAGTGTTTCACATGCCTTTGACAGCTTATGTTTAAAATCAGATACATAATCTAAAAAATGCTTACTGGTTCGTCTCTGAAAAGACGTTTCTTTTCAAACAACTTCAATAATTCACAAATAGTATGTCCAAAAATAAGATAAAAAAGAACAAAACCCAAAATAATCTCGGAACGATTCCCTAACAACAAACAGAGACTGAATACTCCTATCCCATTCTTTTCTTGCATAAAGCACTTTCATTAAATTCTGACTTTTTTGATCATATGCAGAGAATTTAAAATTGTTTGATACCTAATTAATAATCTATTGGACGATTCTTAACATGAGAAGCAAGAACATTTGGAACAGATCTTTTTTAATCTTTTGCCTTTTTTTCAATCTGTAACAATCAAAAATAATGTGCTTCATTTTTTGCAAAACGTGCACGTAGGAATAGATAAGGATTTCAAATCAAATTTATCAGAAGTTTGATTTTTATAAGTTTTGCCAGACAAAAGTTTGTATGTACTCGCATGAGCCTGAGTTGTTCTACTGTTTTTTATTTGCAATTTCATTACATATCTCTTTCTTTATTTTGCATTTACATCTGTATTTGACATTTTTCCTTTTCTTCCTTCTTATTTTGAATTCCTCTTTTTCCTTTTTCTGCCTTGATTAGCATTTTAATTAGTCTTTCCTCTTCCTGAAGTTGTCTCCATCTTTCTTTTTTATATATTTTTATTTTCATTTCAATTTTTTTTCTTTTCTTTTTTTTGAAGATGAAGTGCTGTTACTTCAATTTCAGCCCTGGCTTTATAAAATTTCGATTCATTAAATTTCAATTCAGAGCTAGAGAGAAACGTACTAAATAATCTAAAACCACGTACATCAAATATTTCCATTTCCACCAAATACTTGACAAAATACTCTTTGATTTCATGTTTTAACAAAGACGAGTTTATGTCCTAAAGAGAATAGCAGTTGGAAAGTTTCAACTCATCTTACCGTATACACTCAAACCCTTCCTAGACTATAACAAATTGGAAAAAAAACTCTCAACTTTGGATGACAGTATAAAGCTGTTGTTTCCACCATGTTGAATCAAAAGACCAGGGACAAAAAATTCCTCAATAAAATCAATTTACATTTTTAAAATCAATTTAATTTTTTCTGAAATATTTTTAAACCTTTCATCCAGGACGAACTCTCAGTTTTTCTTACAAATCTATGTTTGTAAAATAAGTAACATAAAGAATCTAAACTAACATGTTTTGTCAAACTTAAAAAATAATTTAATTATCAAAGTTATAAAATTAAATTCAAGAGGAACTTACAGTGCTATAAATTGAATCCAACATAATTATAAAAACTCTCTTTCAGTTTGAAGGAATCGAATGTTTCGAATGAATATCAGATCCTCAAATGTACATATCACATTAGCATTACCTAGAACTCAGTAACATTCCACAAACTTTCCGGAATTACGCTAGATCACTTTGAGATTCCAATAAATAATCCTGTCAAACATTTCCTTTCAAATTATTTAAAAACAACATTAAGGACGTGTGCAGACTTATTTTAACATATGAAATAAGAATCCGTAATAAAAATTTTATTCAAAATATGAATTAATCTTATTTCTCATTTATTTCCTTATATACGCCTTTAAGTGTCTATTACGACTATTTGCCACAATATATCCCACATGACATTTCTTTCTACTCAATCTAATATTTCAAAATACATGTTCATGTGACCAAACCTATCAAATGGGAAATGACCTGATTTTTTCTACGAATCCACTTGACCGAACCTGTCCAATTGTAAACAAAAACAATCTCGTAAACAGGTCTTATACCGATATCATCATTATTGGTCGTAAACACCTACTCCGACAACTATGTATAAATCCTTTGTAGTCTAGGCTCTTAATATTTTAAAATAGAGTTTTCTATCGTGTACAAAAATTAACTATATAATATCTTGACTGTTGTGCACAATATAGACGCGATCAAAAATATAAATCTACAAAATAATGTATGTTTTGTAATTGACCTTAGTCTAAAATCAAACTAATGATTTACCTGACCAGTGATATTTATACTGCAATAACATAATACATAGCTAATATTTTTTCTAAAATTATAGATTTAATATTGAGATCATTAAACATGTTTACTTCAGTTACTGTTAGATATTGTTTTGATTCTGAAAAAGTTTTCCACTAAGATGAAATAATATTTCCAGTAACATGGTAATTACGAGCTAGGTCGAGTAGATGGATATATAATTTTGCTTCAGTAATGATTATTCTTTCCTGCCTAAATCTCCAAAGCTAAATCAGTCTTATTGTTGCGTTCAGTTTATAATTTGGTGGACTTATTTATTCAAATATTATTCACTGGAATTACAAAGCTCAATAATATTTTTGGACTAAAACATTAAGTTTGATATATATTGAATTCAGTCAACGACAATTTAGATTACAGTATTAGTATTTAATAAAATATCAAAAGTCTTAACACATACTCACAATCCAGACTATTGTCAAATCAGTACAATCGACACTATAGGCTCATCAACACATTCAATATTATAATTTATTAGGAATGCCACTAGAATTCAATTGAAACTTCACGTAGATAGAACTTTTAGGACATATTTTTTTGCATTTAATTCACAATACAAATTCCTTTCAAATGTTAGTTTTCGCTATTCTTAGTAACTTAGTTTAAGACGAAATAGGAGTTAACAATAAGTATCTAATCTTGGATTCTGTAATAACATTCAATAATCAGCTATGCATATAATTATTTTTAAATATTGTCATTATACAAGTCTCTATATTCATGTATTATAAAACAATATACTACCTAGACTAACGCACCTTGTTGATTGGGTGTATAAAATTAGTCCCAAATGTCATGAAATGTCGACCATGTGCTTTATTGTCATCCCTTTGACTTGTATTATTCTGAATATGCTCCTAGCAATTGTATGCATCGAGTACTTTCTCGTTGATTTCCACTAGTTTCCTCGCGATGCTTTCTTTGGACTGCAACACAATGTCTCTGATGTCCAAGATGGATGTGTTAAGTTTTCCACTTTGATCTTGTAACACGCTCACTCTGATCATTATCGGCAAGTAAATTCAGACAAATCCACTTTACAGACAAACATGTCTATATCCACATCTGAGCTGTGTCGTGTCCTTGCACTGTAGCATCCGTAACTAGGCATTTTATATACGATAAAGCTTATTCTCTAAGTAACTACGTAAATTCAACATGTCCGTGGAGTTGGTAAACATTCAAGTAGACGATTTCGACAGATTGGACCCTCCATTTAAGTTTGCAAGATCAACTAAATCGTGAGCAATCCCCGCTTTTTCAACCTATCCGCAACAACGCTTTTAATTATATCTTCCACTCGCATTGCAACTTGTTTAGCTATCAGAGCAGTACAAAAGGACATATTCACATGCATCAGACAAGGTTTCTGCGGTAATCATCACGCACGTGTATTCAACATGCAAATGTCATTGTAAATGACAGATATATCTAATGTGTACATTTGTATTTTCAAAGACTCCCCGTTATGATCTAGTGTGTACTTGTCCTGGTCCACGAGCGTGAAACAAATATGTCAACCGGCCATTGTGGCATGGAACATAAACAGGCACTGAGGATCAATCACGATTACACATCCATCATCCCTCCAATGCACCATAAGCTATTATTGGAGCCGAATCGATTTATCAACGGTCGCTCACCAACAACATCTTTGTTCTGAGGACCTTTCTCAAAAAGAAATCATTGGTGTATACTACAGTTTCTGATGATGAATTCTGAAGCTCATTTCAATGAAATAGTTTGCACGAAATCTTTGTCTCGATTCAGCACGTCGATTTAAATACAACCGTCACCTCGATTATCACGATCTCATCAACAAACCCACAATTTGATGTGACATTTTCTACAACCACCGCGAGGGTAATCCCGCACACACGAGATCTCACTAATGACTACTAGGGTAATCCCGCACACTCGAGATCTCACTAACGACTACTATGGTAATACCGCACACTCGAGATCTCACAAATGACTACTAGGGTAATCCCGCACACTCGAGATCTCACTATCGATGTTGGCGTGTATTTCAGTTTTCCTAATATCCGACCACGACAATTTGGGGGCCTTCCTGGAAATAGCTGGTCTGTATTTCCGGAGAATGGTACTATAATGTGAGATGTTGTTGAACATTTCACTAGCGGGTAGGATATGGAATCTATCAATGATAAAACTTGAAATGGCGGATTTTGTTAAAGACACGAGTCCACACTCAGTTTTGCTATCTTGATTAAATTTGCACCGTACGCGGTTGACACAGCACATTCATCGCTAAGAACAATTTCGTTTGGTCCGAAGTTATTCATGAGAATTCCCCAAACGAACAAATGCTGTGTGCGAAACATGCAAGGCTTGGATATTATATCTAGCCAAACATTTCCAGGATTACCCCTATGAATGTGATCAATTTAACATGTGACGCAATAATTGGTACATCTGAAAGCAGAGCTTCGCGAGTATAGCCTCCGAGTGTTCTATATTGTTTGAGGTTGACCCAAGTATGAAGCCAGATGAAACGATTTCAATTGCTACAATGATTACTGTAGAGTTCTATGAGTTCATCCCAAGTTATTAATTCTATAATTTCCACTACGTGTTAGAAGACAATGTTATCAGTTAGTGGCCTAGTGGTTAAAGCGTCTGATTCAGATGCGGGAGGTCGTGGGCTCGATCCCCAGTTGAGTGATAAAATTGGTAATACAGCTGCCTCGCTAGGTGCTCAGCATTAAGAGGTTAGTGTTAAAACTGGTCCACCTTGTGTCGGGATAATATGACTGGGTGGAACATCATGATAAATGTCTGAGACATAATGCCCCAGTGCTTGATATCACTATAAACTCCCACACTGCAGACATCGTCTCTGTAACAGGTTGATCGAATAGAGATAATGCATTTATGTCATGTAGTTGCAAATGATATTCTATAGATTTAGGATTGCCTAATACTATTAAAACTATTTATGATGTAGATAAAGTGTTATCCAGTTACAACATTCATATTTACTATTATACCCTTCCAACGCTATCATTGCTACTTGAACTTTGGATCGTTTATCTCAAGAACCGTTTGCCTGTTAAGCTGGCGCATTTTTATTACATGTATAGAACCAAATATGGCTCAAGGCTAAAACCTAATGGCTGTCATGTGTTTGGGGATTCTACATGCAGAGATATTTTTTAGTGGAGTCAAATGCAAGCTAATACACGTCATCATTTAGACACCAAACAGAAATGCTATGAAGAGACAGGTACATTCCACCCAGGTGGGTTTTCATACTTTTCTTTTACATCTCTTTTACCTCTTTGCTGTTAGACTTTATCATTTGCGTACATTTGTTTACTTTCATTTATTCACAACTCAATATTGTACAGTTCTCAAGCTGTCAGTCCTGATCAATATGATATATGCATGGATACATTTTCGCCCAAACTTGTACTCATTTGACTTCTTTGTATTTTCTGGAAATTTCTGACACTTCTTCTCTGTGACATAATTGCGACGTGAAATATTTCAAGAAATGCAATTCATGAAAATTTAATTTCACGACAATTGTCCGTCTACTGTATTTAATTATATATATATATATATATATATATATATATATATATATATATATATATATATATATATATATAAGCTGAAACGACTGTGTGAGTAAGTCTGCTACTCACAAGCCTGTATAACACCGACTCAGTGCCATCACTTATTGGTGATGCGTGCTTAGTCGTGACAGTATATGGGCTGGTGCGTGCAGGCAAGGCGATGGGTGCCGATTACTCGCGGATCTGGTTTCGAAACTCGGTAGAGTACAAATTTAATTTCTCCAACCTGCATGATGATATTGTTTGTATTAAACTATATATATAGTTAGCAAGCAAACAAGATTCTTTTGCACTGAATAAACACGGAATTTTTCAATAGAAAAACAGAATATGTAGGAATAATTCTTACAGTATATTTCAATTCATTAGATGTCTCATTATATTGGTTCATTACATTAGATTTCACACTACTTTTCATTCCTCATCATTTTTTATCTTTGACGTATCTATTATGTAGGCTTCGAATTAAATTTTCTCCAAATGAGGGATACTTATTATACAATAGTTTGATATTTTCAACATTGTCAGTCAAACAGAGAGAGAGAGAGAGAGAGAGAGAGAGAGAGAGAGAGAGAGAGACATATAAATCAGATCCCATTATTAAAATTCTCACTAGTTAAGTACTTGTGTAACTTAGCTTAGTTTGATACCCTCCTTTGGCGGCAGTGTACATTTTCTAATCAAACAATTTGAAAAGGCTGAAAACATACCAAAAAATCATTTATAGTGTAATCACTCAGCCACATTACCCCTAGGCTTGCTTTCTCAGGTTCATTCGATCGTTGGATTAATGTCGCTTACCGCCTTGTCGACATGTGGGAACTTCGATTTGTGCGCTTTTACACTTATATTGATTGTTTCGATTATGCATCCTGCCCAAGCAAGCCAAGAGACGATCGAACGCCAACAAAACTGACACCCGTGGGGTCCCTGGGTGAAAAGGAAACCCCAGCCAACAAGACTGACACCCGTGGGGTCTCTGGGTGAAAAGGAAACCCCAGCCAACAAGACTGACATCCGTGTGGTCCCTGGGTGAAAAGGAAACCCCATGGATACAGCTCCTCAGCTCGCCAGGTCCATCACCTCGTCTTCTTCGATCCATCCTTCTGTTCTACTCATCCAGCCTTCTTGTTAGCCCAGTTGTCTAATTATGTGGACTTACCTAAACACCGAAAGATGCAACAGTTACATTCACGGATCAAAAAGTCCTGAGTAGTGTCTTTTCCTAATATATACTTAGTGGTGGTTTGGGGGCCTGAGTTGTGTACTAATCGTACTTCATGTTTTTCGAATAGGAATCATTGATATTGGCTCATTGTGGTTTTTTGTGGTCTTAATTTCATCTTCACATCTACTTTGTTCATAACACAAGTTCTCTTGGATCCATTGTTAACACTTCTCTGCAGTGCCGAATTAGACCCTGTGGAGGCCCTAGGCAGTCTAAATTTTGGGGGACCACCTCGCAAATTATCTCCTAATATGTCAAGCTCAAACCATTTCAGTATTATTTTGATCCGTTGTCGCGGGGCACCTAAAAGGCGTGGGGCCCATAGGCCGGTGCCTATTCTGTCTATTGAGTAATCGAGCACTGCTTCTCTGCAGCGTTCCAATATCAAGCGAGTATTGTTCTGAAAATTCTTTTCCGATTCTGACGTGTATCTTCCTATCAGTCAAGTAGTAGGCTATTCATGTTCCCATTTATTTGGATTTCTATGAGATTATATATCACCCCTTTCGTCCACATCGGGTTCTCCAAATCTAGGCAGATCTAGGCACATCATATCTTGACCGGGGAAGGGGGTATTTTGCTTTTGTGACCAAATGCTATTTAAATGGGGGGCTTCAATCTAATTAATTTATCAATGGTGCTATGATTGCTACGGTATCCGCTCTGAATGTTAGATATTAGTTGCTGCCTTCTAGATGACATTTGATTCGATTGTTTATTATGCTTTCCATTATTTTACATATTATATAGATCAGTGGTATAGGTCTATTGAGGTATAAATATGTTTACAGCGTTTATTGGTTCACGGATTTTTTAATTTGGGAAGACTACCGCTTTCTTCTATCTTTTTTTCCCCGTTTTCCATATTTTGTTAATAATGACAGTTATCACTGTTGCGATGTAGTTGGATAGATTTAGGTACTTTGAATACGTACTTATGTTTTTATCGTGGTTTTCATGTCCAGTTTGACGATCTACGGTCAAAAGGCACATTGTACTCGATATGCACGTCTTATCTCTCACTTCTAGTTATCACACCACAAATAATTTATTTTCCTAGAATACAAAGTGAAAATGAAAGATGTGACTTGCAGTACTACGAAGAAAATCCTAAAATAATCCAAGAGATACAGTCAAAAGTCCAAGAAATTTAATGTCCTGAATTAAATTAAGGAAAAATCCAGGAAACAAATCCCAAAACTGAAGATGGTATCTATATTAAAGTGTTATATATATATATATATATATATATATATATATATATATATATATATATATATATATATATATATCGATATATATATATATATAGATGCAATAAACTGACGACGAACAGTACGAAACTAGTAACTAACTAGCCTAAGCGCTTTCGACTCTTAATGAGTCTTTTTCAAAGGCAAATACAAAACATAGTTACGACAAACAAATAAACACAAAAACGTTGCGTTTGTAAACCTCTACATTTCTATCTTCACATGTGCTAAAACTATAAATACAAATAAATATAAAAACTATATATATAATGACGCATCACATGACCAAAATCTTAGAAACAATATATTGCCACAAATCCCGCTTTCAATGAAAAGGAAAACTATAAATTTAACGAAATAATTATAATCATCTATGTGTTTTGTCGTTGCATCATAATATGTCCATGCAAATTTCTATAGACTTTATTTTTCGTATTTTCTATTTCTTAAAATGTAAAGCTTTCAAAATAAATATTCTACAAAATGTTTCTGCATTTTGTTTCTATAGAAACAACCAATAAAAGCGAATATTATATTTTAGATGCCTGTTGATATGGTGTCAGCGCCTATCTGATAGTTATAGATTTCTTCATAATTGTGGGGCAATATATAAATACATTATTATGAACGTGGTAGGCTTTTACTTTGACATAGTTACTTATATCAATGAGGTTGTCTTGGTTTAATCATTGGAAAGGTATTGACATTTTTTAATTTTTGCAGACTAATATGGCCGCAAAGATTGTAACTCAAAGACATTAGAGAAATCTTTCATTGGAGGATTCTGACGATAATTTTGCAATGGATGACGAAGTTTCCGATGAGGAAATAAAACCATTCCTTGAAGATCTCAGCCAATTACCCGACATTTTTAGACAATATAGCATTAGTGAAAAATCAATTTTTGAGAAAGACACGAATTGGAAAAACGAAAATATAGACGAAAATGCAACAGACAAACTCACAAGTACTGCTGACAAACTGGCTAATGATGATGATGCCAGGAGTTGTGCAAACTGTTCCCAGGCAATAAGAGTACAAGTTATGGACCATTTGGAAGTAGGACAACATATATCTTGTCCCGGGAAACTCTTCAGGAAATATTTCGAGTCAATGCGTAAGCAGATTTTCTTATACCAACATCATTGCATCATTAAGGAAATTTGCTGGAGAGAAAGTACTAAAGCAGAGTTAATCGTTATTCATTTTGCTAAAAACGAAGACAACAAGATCAAGGTTTCGCAGGAAAAGCTTGTGTTTGACCTAACACTTGATGAACTGTATGTGATTAAATATCAGTACCCAGGATATTCTCCAGCTTTAATTGTTCAAAGAGCTGAATCTATTTTGCAACAAAGTGAAGGGCTGTTCAAAAGATACGATCCCTTCTTGAAAAATTGTGAACATTTTGCAAGATGGTGTGTGATTGGAAAGGAAAGAAGTTTCCAGGTACAGAGCGTTTGTCACGGTTTCGTAAATATTTTGAATAACGTATTAGGAGAAGGTAGCAAGATAGCAAGATTCATATGTCGGCTATTGTATACATCCACCGACGAGGTGGCCGCTACAATTTCCAAAGCAATCATTGTTCCGATGAGTGTGT